GCCACCAGGAACGGTGGCCAGCATGCCCACTCTCTTCACCCATTTTCCATGCCCTCCACCACCACCACTGCAGGCAGCAGTGAGCAGGGAAGGAGGCTGGCCAGCAGGAACTGCAGCCGGGAAGCATTGCCAGTTGCACGGCTGTGGATCTGGAAATGCTCACAACTTCTTCCATTCTCTTCCTCAGAGAGGGCTGAACCCTAGAAGGAGCCCAACAGGCAGGCATACACTGGGTTCCAGAGGAGCAAGTACCCAGAAAGGTGTCTCCAGAGATCCTTTGGTGCCCCCAGACACCACAATCTTTACCGCCGAATTAGACCCTTCCATGTGCGATGCAAGCTTGAGATTGGGCCTAGGATTGCTGGGATAAAGAAACACATTTTTGAAAATTACATTCAGCAATTCCCTGGCTCTGTCTCCAGGCTTAAACTAAGCATGCCACGTTTCTTGTTAATTGGGCAATAGAAATAAAGAGAAGCATGGCGGTTTTCTATATTAAGACACCTATCAATTAATTTTAGAACATGTAAATTACATGATCTAAGATTAATCTCCAGGTTTGCTAATACAGAAATAAAACAGCCAATGGTTGAGAAATTGGGGAGCATTTACTAGTGACTGAAGGAAGGTAACCCTAGAAAGATTTTCTTGTAGAGCCCTTTGGAAGGATTCCAGCAGTGAGTTCCTCCAACCCGGCAGAGTTGGGACCTGCTAACTGAATTCTTTCTTTGCTGGTTTGGGGGCCCTGACAAAGGACAAACTTTGCCACCTCCTAAACGAGCCCTCCGCTAAAGGAAGAGCATTGCTAGGGCTGACCGAGAGCTCACAATTTTCCAGCAAGTTGCCATGACAGTGTGCAAAAGTGGCACGTACGGACAGGGGACACACGCAAGGTAGGTGCAGCTCCTGGATGCAGGAGTGGACATTCTGAGCTGGAAAACATCAGGCACCCTGTTCATTCCAGAAGTGCTTCTGCCTTTACTAGGGCCCACAGGAAGCGCACACCACAAATCACAGCTTTTCAGCTGCCACCACCAGAATGAAAGAAATGTGCATCCAGACTCAAACTATATTTGAGTTAGAGTCTTTTTCTCCTCTTTTTTCGTCTGAGCGCTTTTTGTACACCAATGATTTTCTTGTATAACGTGAAAAATATTTGAAGCTGCCCTTGCGATGGCTTATCTCATTTCTTGATCTAGCTGCTGGAGCCCAAGGATTAAAAGATAAGCCGTGACGCACAAAGTGGTGAATGTCAGAGCTTCCCCCGTGAGAATCTCACCTTCATTAGACATACCTTAGCAGAAAAACAATAAACTAATATCAGGCAGCATTAGATCATTTTGCAGGACAAAGGAGGGTGTGTCCCACTTGTGAAGGACAGTCCTCTATTGGAAGGCCACCTCTAATGTTTGAATTGTCAAACCCAGTTTAAATATAAAGAAGCAAAGGTAACAAAGGCCTTGACTGCCCATCTGCAGTTGGCAGCTGAACAACAGGCCAACAGGCTGAGCAGGAACATGGGTCACGTGGCCCCACTAGGGAGAGCTGTATTGCACTTCTACTGAAATCACAGAAATTATTTCCACTTTCAAGTCTTTCCCTGTACATTAGCTTAGCTTAGTAATGCATTCTACTCTTGGCAATGCACGTGTGCTTGATGCATAAAAGGACAGTTCAGGCCAGGGGCCAAGAAGAATGGCTTGGATCTCGTCACCTGCTCTCCTGCATGACACCCGCCCCCCCCCCGCCCCCCCGATGCTTTTATCACCTATCAGCTACTTACAAAGTTTGGTAGGGGTGGGGGATCAGGGAGGCAGTTTGCTAAAGGCATATGAGAATAAAACAAAAGGACTGAATGAAGTCAGGAGAACACAAACATAAGAACATTCAGGAAAGGCAGACATGAGTGTGTCTCACGTGTGCCCCAGAGGACAGGTCTTTCAGGACTGGGACATTGGCACTTCTAAGGTGTACACGGGGAGCAAAACTAGAGGCATGGATTTCTGGTCAGGACAGGAATCCCACCTTAATTCTAAAGCTGTTCTTACAGTATCAGTCTTTTAGCAGCCGTATTATGGCAGAGCTTTTGCTCATGTTGCCCTGACAATGGATAACCCTTGATAGATACCTGCCCCACTTCCCAGGACTAGCACCCCAATTAGTTTCCTGAGTCACCAGCCCCTAAAACCAATCTTGATTATTCCTTTCCATCCAGTATGGAAGGCAATAGAACAGCCTTCCCCAATTTCTCTAAAGGCTGAGAATTGCAATCCAATGCCTCTGAAGGAAACCAGGTTGAGAAAGGCTATGGTAGGAATTGAAGGATGCTAAATCCTGATGCAACTCCTAAAGATGGAAACTCAATGCAACTCAGACAATGGTGAAGAATAAAACATTCTTTTCTGATGACCAAATAACAAGTAATAATTTACTTAGTGTTCTATCAGAGAGACACAAGAGGGACAAAGTTATAAAATAAACCTCTGTCAAGAAGGTCAACATTGTAAAGATAAGCCTGTAAGCACATGTTTTGACACCAGATGTCCTAAGGGGTGATGTGGGCCAAGGTAACCACATACAAAAAAGTAACTGAATGTTTCCTGCTAAATATGTTCATCCTTTACTGACGGATGTGTCCTGCTTTTATCAAGTATTGTTTCCTGCTATGACATTTTCTTCTACCATTCATTACAAAAAGCTAAATGCATAGATTGGCTGCACATGATGACTGTAGCAACTGGTCCTGATCAGGGACAGCTCACTCTACGTTTCTGGGGTACACCTACAATAAAGAGTTAACAGGAAGGCTTTGCTGGTGTCGCCTGTCTCTTGCACAATCACACAACAAACTAGGGGGACATTTTTGTCCTCAACAGTGGGCTTTAGTGAGGAGAGAGCCCCATAATCATCACCATCATTAGATAAAGTACATTTTTGTGTATTACTATTGCTATCTACTTTTTATGAGAACAGCTATATAAACAGCAGACTGTTACCACCTCTTCGCTTTGCTCTCACATGTAGGCTTCACAGCTCTGAGGTTCACTTCACAAGAACTGTCACTGATGCACTCAGTGCCATTCATGGGCAAATGTACCTCCTTGTTCTTCATGGTCCTGTCTCAGGTACTTTCCGCACAAAGCCCCTTTGGGTGGGTCTCCAGCTCTGCAGGGAATGGCAGCCCCACACAGCTGGCTCTTTCCAAACGAGTGCTGCCGTCTAGGATGTGGACTCCTAGGCTGATCAGCAAATCTCCTTCCTTTCCCTCCTCACCTCAAAACATCTGGGAGCAACAGCAAACAGTCTTCTGGAGCAGTCTTCCCCATCCTGGTGGCCTTGCAAAGTGCTGCAGGTCTCATCATCCCGGACAGTCTGCCCTGCTGAGGGGAGGCAACGGGAGCTGGACACCTGGAGATCACCAGGCTGGGGAAGGTGGTCCTCAGTTTGTACCTGCCAAGGAAGAAGAAAATAGATCTACTTATGGATTACAAAAAATGTGTTAACTGCCAATTATCTTTTGTCTAATAATTGTTTGTTAGTTTATTATAATTATATCCTGGCTGCAGTTCCCACAAGGGATCCATTCTGCTTATCTGGTCGTCCTCCTTGCCGTTTCACACTCACAACCACCTGCCCTGTGAGGCAGATTGGGTTGAGGCTCAGCAACTGCCCAAAGTCACCCAGGGAGCTTCATGTCCAAGTCAGAAGTAGAACACAGACCTTCCAATTCCCAGTTCAACACGCAAACCGCTAGGCCATGCTGGAGTCATGACATGCCTTTGCCTGGCCTCTGCAATACCTGTATTACCTCTAGAGGGGGATTAGGCTAAATCTTCAAGTTAAACAATATATTCAATAATTCATATATTAAATAGTACTAAAGTTCAATTGTATTAATTGATGCTCTCTACCCACAGCTGCCATATATTTCCCTACTGCTATTTTAGCCTCATTCCAAATCAAAAACAAATTTGCTGAATCTGTCACAAGTTTGACTGATGTAGACGGCTAGAAACCAGAAGTAAATGGCTTCTAAGAGGGGTCAGCCATGCCTCTGGAAAGTCGTAAATGTACAACAGCTGCAAAACCCACTGTGATATTTGCAGAATGTGTTGGAGGCTCATTCTGCTTCAGTTTAATCAGAATTTAGCCAGTTTGCCATTCCTAGAATTCAACTCAGAACCAAACACCTTCTGCAATGTATTTCCAACCTTCTATCTTTCTGCGTATTTCTAAATGTACAGTGCAATTTGCAGAAGAAAAAAAGATGCATTCTAAATATATTTTTAAAAAGCTAGTGAAAATGCACACACACATTAATCAATGGGAATAAAGTGTGTATATACCAAAAGCACAATAGGGGGAAAAGTGCATGAAACTAGATCTCTCGAATTATGCAAAAAGGAAGCGAACAAAGTTCTTCATGCAGGAAATCTTGGAAAGTTTGGCCCTTGCTGATGCATGCATCCCTAGATATTTGGCAGTGCACATTACAATCACCAGCCTTGGTTGGTTGGTTGGTTGGTTGGTTTTTTAAAATTCAATTTTCCAGAGGAAGTCAAACCGACACCATCCTAAGCAGGCAGCTCAACCCTACATTCTCCCATATCCATAAAAGTAGGGCACCATTCATTGAAGGGGTTGAATGTTGCAGAATCCTGTAAACCACTTCCTTTTGTTGCTCACGTTTCACACCAAACCTCGCCCCTTGACTACCTCTAATATTTCATATTAGGGCTCAATCTTATGCTCATTAAGAAAGGGCAAAAATACTACAACTCCCAGGATTCCCCACCCCCATGGGACGCAATGAGGAGGGAGTTTCTAAAATAGAAGAAAAGGATCCCGGCGTTCTCTATCTTGCTCTCTCTCATTTCTGTCTCTGAACTCTCTTCCACTAGGGAAGTAGGACACTGACCACTGTCTGACTCCACCCATTTGACATTTCCCTCCCCCTTTCTGAGGTTTCCTGCCTAAAGTTATTTCTCTCACGCCACTCCTGTACTTCAGCTAATTGCCGTGGCTGTCCTGGCTTCCCCGCTTGGGGATTCACAGCCAGATCACCCCCAGGCAGAGAGACTTTCGAGGAGTAGCCTTTCCACAACATTGGAGCTTTCACCATGGACCAACCAGGGTTCCGTGTTCTCCACATTCTCTTGGGCTTGTCCTGGGCACAGCTGGGTGAGTTGAATCAAAGGCTTCCTTTCTCCTGCTCTTCCATTGGTCTCCTCTGGGGCATCGGATCCCTTGCCTGCCCCCAGAGTTGCCCTCTTTCCTGGAGAAGGTTGGCCTTACTCTGGCCATGGCTTGTCAGGACATGGGATCACCTTCCTACCACACCCTTGCCCCACACAGCTTCTCTTCCCCAGGGTCAGAACAAGCTGTCTTAAAGCACACAGAATGCGTTTCTGCATACGTACATGGGCAAGCCAAAAATGTTCCTTAATTCTGATGAGGCGGCTGAGAGTGATGGGAATTGCAGTCTAATGCATCTGAAGGGCACTGGGTAATGCCAGGCTAATAATGGATCTGAGGTGGGCATAGTTATGCAACCCTCCCCTCCCTGCACTGCCTCTATGGGGGAGGGGTGCCCTCATTGAAACCCCTTCCCCCCTTGGTTTACGTCAAAGCTAAATCTTCTTTCCTCTCCTTTTCTATTTTGGGCATTCTGTTCTGATGGAAAGGCTTTGTTCCAGTGTGATCCCCATTAGACACGGGTTTAGTGTTGTTAAAATAAAAAAAGAACTTCGGAATATTTCAGCTGATGCAAGTGTGCCGAAACCAGTGCCAGCTTCAGGTTTTTGTGGGCTCTCGGGCAGGAACTTCCATGGCCGCCTCCCCAGTGAGAGCACCTTCCCCCTGCTGTGGTCAGCAGCCCTCTGGTGCTCCTTCCCCATCATTGCTGCACCTGCCAGCTTGATGGGCAGAGAGCCAGGGCAGAAGAACACAAGGGCCACCACTGTCTGGGCCAGAGCAAGAGGCGCGGAAGGAGTAGCTTGTACTGACAGGGAAGTATGAGTCAACGCTGCTGCTTTTTTCCAGCAGGCCTCTGCCTGGTGCAGGCAAGTATAATGTCGGGGTCACTGTGGGTAGGTGAGCAGCCATGCCTCCCCTTCAACCCAGCCTGCTTGACTTGCGTCAGCTTCGATGGGCTCCTTGGTCCCACAGCCCCTCCTCTGCTGCTTTGTACAGAACACTAGGGAAGGTGGTTACAGCAGCTTCTGCAATCCCAGAAATGCTGGGTGCAAAGAGCTTCCGTGCCCCCAATTAATATACCGAGCTAAATGAACCCATTGTCTGACTTGGCTTCCCATGTCCTTAAGAGACCTTCCTATCGTCCTCTTTTCTAAATGGAAGGAGGCAGACTTCCTTCTCCTTCTGCCCTGCCCTCTGTCCATCATGGACCATCTCAGGTCACCACCTATGAGTGATGAGAAATGTCCCTGAACTGCAGCTTCCATCAGACCCACCTGGCATGTCCAAGATCTTAGGTATAGTTCACAACATCTGGAGGGTGCTAGCAGAGAGCAAGCCCCATTGAACAAAAATGGGTCTTAATTCCAGAGGGATCCAGCATTTTGACAGCAACCAGTCTGCTCATTTTCTGCTCTTTCTTATTTATAATGTTAGATTTATATTTAGCACCCTCAGTGCATAGGGCACTGGAGAGAGGAAGTCTGCGGTCTCGGCGTTTGGTTGTTCAGATTCTCCCTTTGAGGACAGAGTCGGTGCTCCAGTGTCAGAAGGGGAAGTGTTCGCCACCCCCTTGCCACCGGTGCAAGAGAAATCAGAGAGGGGCAATGCTGGGAAAGTGATGAAAGGAAGGAGAGAGAAATTCTGTGTGCATGGGATCCCTGCATTAAGAGATCCGATACCGACCTCCTTGTTTGGGGGCTTCCAATTATCAAGGGTGCAAAAGAAAGCACAGGAGGACAGGCCGTGGCCCCAAGGAACTTCCAATTACCAAGGGGACATAGAAAAAGAAACAGAGTGAGTCAGAAGGGGTCTCCTGGGCCATCTAGTCTGACCCCCGGCTCCACTCATGACATGCCTGCCATGTGCATGTCCAGCCTATCCTTAAACGCCCTCACCCACGGGGCTTCAACCAGCTCCTGTAAAAGCCCATTCCATACCCTAGGGGACCTAAGCATCGGGAAGTACTTCCTGGCATCCACCCTAAGTCGTGGTTCCCTGAGCTTTGCTCCATTGGAATGCATCCTGCTCTCCAATGCAGGGGGAAAGAGGTCATGACCCACCTGTGCATGGTGGCCCCAGAGATTTGTAAACCACCCAGAGAGTCCTCTGGGCTACTAGGGTGGTATATAAATGCAAATAATAAATAAATAAATAATACCTGTGTTGCTAACTGGCCCCCTCTGAGTCTCCTCCTTTCAAGGATGGAAAGACTCAGCTCCCTCAGTGGCTCATCCTGCAAAGCAGGCACCATCCCAGTGGCCCTTTGCTGCACAGATTCCAACCTTACCATCTTAATTCTATCTATCTATCAGGCTTACTTTGTTGCTGGGTTGCCTAGAATAGCGGGCTTGCATTCATCCACTTGTTTTCTGCAGTGGCCAGTTTGGATGGGCTTGCCTTGATGCCCTGATCAAAAAGAAATACTCTGTGCAGTTTTGCGTTGTAAACGCAAGTAAATCATTGCACCGTCACGACTCCATATATCCCTGGGGTTTACTTTTGTCACCCAAATCTTATGTACATGTACATAGGATTTATTGATTGATGTTTGATTTCATTTCATTTCTATTCCATCTCATTAGCCAAAATGAGTGCCATTTTGCTGTAGGAAAAAAATAATATACTTTTAATGTAAAAATAATTAAAGTATAACCCTACCTCTAGGTTAATACAGAGCAGGAATTCTAGAATCAGATGCTAAAAATGCACTACGGGGTCTGCAAGAAAATTGGCAGCCAAACAGCCAATTAATTCCACCATTTTACAGACAAGGAACACTGAGTCCGCCATTAACGAGCCATATTATTTCCAGTATTTCTGTCTTTGAGTTTTCTACAGGAGGTCACTCATTTTTGTATCTATTTTCAGTTCGTTTGCCAAATTGAGATCCAAGATCTACAAGAGCTCTTTCTTTCCTCCTTTTAGGCTTCATAGCCTCCTGTTAGCACCGCTGAAACAGAATAACATGCAGTGGCTGGTTCTCTATTCTGCGAAGAAACCAAAAATTTATAAAGCAGATTAGAAAAGTGACGCTCTGAATTGTGTTCTGACAAGGAAACGGGACAGCTTGGTTTGGGGAACCAAGGGTGGGGAACAAGGGCTGCTTCTCCTTCATTAGCTCTCTCCTGAAGCACCTTTGTCACAGTTTGAGATAGAGAAAGAGACCAGGGCTGCCCGCCCAGCCTGTTATTCCATTGGTACAATTGCTGGCAACGTTCTTCCCTGCAGCTTCACTCATGCCCTCCTGGGAAATGAGCTACCAATTTCCCTTATGGAGAAATAGACACCTGCATGCAGTCCCTGTGGCACCGCTAAGAACTAAAACTGTGTAGAGTCAAAACATTTTGCAGCAAAGCAAACACACAGCAGTAAGGGTACCACTCCAGCAGTTTGTCTCTGCAGCTGTTATTGGGTAGTTTTGTATACCAACACTCCTCCTAAACATGTTTTGGCATCTATAGATGTCAGAAAAATCCAGAACGGATACAGATGATGTCTGATTTCTATGAATGTGATCCATGGATTCTGCAGTGAATTGGCATCTTCCACATCACACAGATTTGGCAGATGTGTAGATGATTTCATTACTTTCTGGAATTATAGGCAAACTGAATCATATGAAAATGACTGGAAAATGTTAATATTCTTGCCATTTGAAGCAACAGCAAAAAGTTGTTTATGTATCTCACCATTCTTCAGCTTCTGCAGATTGTAATTTTTTTGTGTGCTTACACACATACAAACACCAAACTTGGAAAGAGATAACAAGTATCATTAACTTTTCCTCAAAGTAGTAAAAGAGGTTTAAGGTTCAATTTTGCATTTTTAGACAAAAAAAGCCCTACAGCTCACAGAATGCCTATGCCAGCTGAAAATTATTATATTCTGTAAACTGTTTTGAGAGCTAATCAAAATGTATATAGGTACTTTAAAAATAAATAAATAAATTACAACCTGCATTGGGCAAAAACAAGAAGCAAGATCTCCTTAAAACAAATCATAAAACTATACATAATATGTTACTAGTTTCAGACTCCACAAGCTGAAATCAACAGAACCAGCTGACTGCATTGCAGAAAAATATACAAGAGATTTATACACAGGGATGGTCAGATGATATAAAAGCTGCTCTATTTCATGAACTGCCAGGTGCCTTATGCAAAAATGCACAAATTGACACTCTCCAAAAAGCACAAGTCCTTCCAAAATACGCAGCCCCCAACATGCATATTTTCATGCCTATTGAAAGTGTTTTCCTATGCCTAAATGTATGTGAAATTATGTAAAATTAAAAGGGCCTGCAAGTCTATGGAATCCATGTGACTCAGGAAATGTTGGTCCACTGATGGATCTCCAGGTTGCATTCTCAGACATTTGAATTCATTTGCATCTGCTGTGGGTTTCTCCGGCACCTCCACAGAGCAGACAGCAAAAGAGTTATTCAGAGAAAGGGCCTGCAAACATTATGTCAGCATGCAAGGTGTAGAGAAATGCATGTCTTTTTATGCTTATGAAAATGGATACAAAATGCTGCTCACATGTTCATCCCAAAGGCTGAAAAATTGCAAACTGATGCAGAAACAGGATGGAATGTGTTGTGCCTGAAATGAAAATGAGCGTCCCTTCTGGCAGCCCCTTGGCAGGTGTTATCTGCTTTCTATCTCTTGCCACCTGACAAGAACTTCAGCACTGTGGTGATGTTCACTCCTCTATTTCCTGTTGATTCAGCTCTGTAGACCACGGGGCTAGAGGTGGCGTGTGCAACTGTGTGCTGTTTTTCTGCAAGTGTACCTTATGAGTGCAGAAACTGGGACGCCTGCTGGGAACGAGGAATACAGTTGATATTGGCCCACACTCTCAGGGACTGCTGGCTGGGGGGGGGGGGAGTGGTGGGCAGGGGGCTCAGAAAGTGTGCAGAGATGCTTTTTCAAGGCCAGATTCCCAAGATAGGCAGGCAGCCTCTGAGGATAGCCAAGACATGCAGTTAGCAGAAGGGGACTTGGAACAAGGGAGTTTTTCGGAGACAGGTGAGGCAGGGCTGGGTCTGGACCCCAGGACACAACATGGACAGAGGAGGATTTGCCATACAGGGAGTAGCATGCAGATTTTCAGAAGGCCCCTTCCAAAGAGGTGGGCCCAGGCATGCTCATAAGGAAAGTTATTGGGAGTGAACACTACACTGGGTTTAACAAACCACTCTGTGCACGCTCAGAGATTCATCCTGGGTGTTTGTGCTGCTGGAAAATACTTTGGTCAGTAAAGAACATTTTGCAAGAAAGGTCTGTGGCTTTCTATGTGCAAAGGAATGAAATTCAGTCCAAACTTATCATCAGGAGCAGAAGTGGCATTATTGTCAATGCCCCACACCACCATGTTTCTAGTCCCTATGGTTGTGAAGCTAGCATGCATGTATACACACACACACACACACACACACACACACACACTGCATAGGCAGCCTGAAGGAAAGTGAAAATGACCTCTCCTAAAAACTACTTTGTGAGAAAGAGGAATGACCTCTCTTAAAAACTCAGGGCCTTCTATCATCACTAGCAGAAGCAGACAGAAAGACAGATGGATTGTATATTCATTTCATAGGATTCTCCTTCTCGCAGCACAGAATATAGATTGCCTTTGGGGCAAAGAGCTGGTGCAGAAGTGGCTTCCTTAGCATGGAGAATGCACAACTTTGGCTGCAACAGCCTGTGACAAACAGGGCAGTGTGGTGGGTTTGGTGTTACTGATCCTCCGACTCCTGGTGTGCAGAAGGCTGGCATGTGGGCATTGGATGGCCCTCCCCATCAATACCTGCCCCCATCAGTTGCACAGCTCCCATCCAGGTAACTTGAAAGAAGATTATTTCCCCATACAAATTATAACTGAGTCATAAAACTGAAAATCACAGAAAATAAGGCTAGAATGCTAAGCAATAGTTCCTTGAAAATTAACACCATCTGAATTAGTACAGAGTTTGGTTTTTTGTTTGTTTGTTTGTTTGTTTGTTTGTTTTTTAGGGTAATGCAAAATAACTATTATTTGCCTTTCAGAAATCTAACACATAAGGCAAAGCTCTCCCCACGTTCAAAAAGCACTTTATCCCTCTCCATATCTCTGGCAGTACAGCTGAGGTCTAGGAACTTGCAGTGCCGTCAGGGCCCCACCTTCCCCTCCTCTCCCCACGACATTTTAAATGCTGAATTCCTCCTCACTCTGTTAAACTATAAATTTGCTATGGGGCCTGTGTTAGACTAACTGGGGGTGGTGGTAACCATGGTTTGCACCTACCTTCTCACCTGAAACCATGGTTTGAAGTAGATTTGCAAGATGTGGTTTGGAGAAGATCCTGGCTCTCACTAAGTGAGCTGCAACAAGCAATTGTTGACTTGTGAATGTGATCCCCACCTCCTGATGCCAGAAAGGAAGGGAGAGAGCGTCAAAGTTAATTTTCACTGAATACTCAGGCACATGCTGTCGCCTCACTTCCGGATTCATTGCTTGGACTCAGGGGGAACACAGTAGCAGGAGTAATTTTGCACCAGGTAGGCTGGTGTGGCAGCTGTTCCTCTTTGTGCACAAAACAGATCTGATACTTTGGTTTAAATGTCTCTCAGAAGGATGGAAAAGTCCCATGGAACAAAAGCCTATGAGTACATGGACGAGCATTGAGCAAAAACTAGTGAGAATTTTCACCTTGAGAACTGAGGGCAGAAGAGAACAGGGTGAAAAGTGAGGGTGGATTCAGAAATGGATGGAATTCAGCCCAAGGCTTGGGGCTCCTACCTCAAGTGCAGCTGCAGTTCTGCTGCAGGTGAAATGGAGCGGCCACAAAGCGAGCGACAGATTGTGGGGAGGAAGGTATTTCTATACAGCATGAACAGGAACAGAAGTACAGAGACCAGACCTCAAGATCAAGATCTTAGCTCCAAACCATCCACTTTTCTTCGCTTCAGTGCACAGAGTCAAACCCAACATTAATGTTCCCAACCTGCCCCACCCAGCAAGATTTCTTTCCCATTGCAAAATTCTGCCAACTGCTGCATGGAGAGACCTGAATGTTCCTCTTAGAGACCTGTCATCTCTCCTGTTATGCAAACAAAGATCTGGTGGAAATGAATGGGGAATAATGTCAATGTAATAATAGCTCAAACACTATTTCTTTTTCTTTTAGGAGCTGCCCAACAGAGCGGTAAGAACCTATCCACCCTCCTTTTTGTAATGCTTGCTGCTAACTTTGGAAATCAGAGTTGAGAAAACCTGGAGGCATGCAGGACCTGTGTAAAGTTTTAGCAGAAGCCCAAGAGCTACTAAACAGTGCCTGGTACAAAAGACAGACCCTCAGAACTAAATGGCTCTGAACCCTGACCGGGAATTTGTGTTGCGTGTGAGAACTGAAGGAAGTCTTTCACACACACTCAGGTCACTCACAGTGAACACAAGCATTCTTCTTGTCAACAGTATAATTGGAGAGGGGGTGATTCTATTACTGCAACTGTTGCATAATTAGGAGGCAGAAAACTTTGCTGATCTACTGCAAATTGGGGGGGGGGAATGGAAACACAAAACAAAGAAACATTTACTTAGATGGTGCAGTCCTCACTTTGGTATTTAAAGTGCGCAGCTGTTGCTTAAGGTTTCAGTTCCTTGCTCTCTTTTCTCCCAAACTATTCCTCTTCAAGCAACTATTTATAGACCACTTTGCTTCCCACTTTCAGCCAAGATGAATATGCCCTTTCTTGTTCGGATAACTTGAAAGTGATTTTGTGTGTGCGCATCCCACTTCTGAGTGGCAAGATATTTCAGGGCTCCCTGCCTTCACTGGGGATTCTATTTCCTTAGAAAGCGGTCACTAGAAATTGATGATATTAAGATAGTATTGGGTTTATTTTTACAAATATGGGAAACCGAGCATAAGATGGAGATGGGGATTTCACAACGGTTGCACTCTGATAGTCTCAGTTCCAGCAGACTAGACTTCCGGCCTCCCACATTGCCTTCACTTGCCATTCACATTATTGTTGTTGTTGCTCACTATTATTATTATTATAAAATTACATTTACTTTGCATTGAGGCAGGTTGGGCTGAGAGTGTGTGGGCAGCCCTGTTCAGTTCTAGTCCCTGTTCAAGCTTCATGGTTGAACAGGGACTAGAACCCAAGTCTCCTGGCTCACCAGCCCAACTCCGGGGGAGAAAGAAGTCAGCCTCCTTGGACTATCCTAGTTCTCACTGAACCACATCACCAGACCTAGTTATCAACTCTGCCTTAAGAGCAATTGCCCCAAGACTCCCACTCTGATCGCTCTTCTAATCTAAATCTTACAATGAAGAATCACATCCTTGGAAGACAGCCTGAAGCTCAGCGGCACTGGCTGCAGGAGCACCTGAAAAAATCATTCAGGCCAAGCCAGCCTCAGAGCCCAGTGCCTTCCTTATGCAAATGCCCCCACACAGAGCTCCCAGGGGCTCCTGTCCAGAGCCATATCTGCAGACTTCCAGCCATGCCACAGCACCTGGCATTTTGCAGTCTGCTCATTTGGACGCATACGTATCCGTCAGTTCCTAAAGGGGCAGGTCCTTGAGATATCCAGGCCCTGCAGGGCAGCCTCCCCAAAGCTGGAGAACATTTAAATCTCCCGAATGGCAGGCAGCAAGGCAGCCACAACTAACTCTGCCTGCTCCCTTTGGCAGAACAGGGAACCACACTCCTGCTGCCGTTGTTCAGGCCAACAGGCCCAGGACAATTTCCTGCCTGAGGAAATGAAGGAAATGCAAATGGAGTCAAGCTGCTGAGCACCCTAGGCCAGTCAAGACATTTTGGTCCTGGGGGAGCAGGGGGAACGGACCAGTTTGCACAGTGCCAGCACCTCTGATAGGTTAGGGTGTCTTTTAACCCTGTGCATGCCTGTCTTCTGACAGATCTTTGTTCCAAGTTACCCACACTTGGGTGAGTTTTGTTTTGATGTCCAAACATGGCGAGAGGGGGGTGTTGGGGTGAGCATCCCTCGGACAACGAGGGGGCACACAGCAGCCTGCTCGCAGCAGGTTTGGGCAGCATTTGAGTCCCCATGGGGTGAAGTGGCAGCTTGGCACCCATGAGCAGGATGCCCCCCCCAACACACACACACACACAGCTCAAACAAGCCACGGGGAGCAGTGGTTCTTGGGTAAACCAGGTCAATGTCACAAGCATCTCTGCTCCCGTGGCCACAAAGATGCGATCGTGATAAATTAAGTGACAGACCATTTGCCGACGCTGCTGCAAGTCTCGCACAGTCTGCAGCCTGAGGCAGTGGCCTCGCTCTGACAGGTGGCAGAGTTGGCCCTGGCTCCGGGTAGGCCGGGGTGGGCTGCAGCCCTGGGAAGAGAACAGGCTGGGAAGGCGAGGCTGCCCCATCTCCTGCCGCATCAGAAGGTTCATCCACAGTATCTGAACGTTCCCTGGTCTGCGTCAAGGTGTGTTCCTCCAAAATTCCCCTCCCTTTCATGGTCATTCTATCTGCCTCAAGCCCTGCAGTCCCAGAGTGAGGATAAGCATTGCCCAGACGTCCAGGGGGAAAGGGCTCGAGTCCCACGAATGCCGGCCAGCTCCCGATGGGCTCCGTCCAGAGAGTTTGATCCCAGGGACCGCTGCTGCCTCCGTGCTCCTCACCATTCCGGCTCTCATTCTCCCCAGGCTGCAACGACTGCTACATGCTGCGTCCGAGCACCATCGCGGGCATCGTGCTGGGGGATTTGCTGCTGACGTTGCTCATTGCGCTGGCTGTCTACTTCGTGGCCCGCCACATCTCTTGCCGATCTGCTCACAGTGGTGAGGAGCAAGGGGCTGCTCCCATCCTCTTCCAGGGTGGCACCACCGTGCTACAGCCAGGGGGCTCCAGCTGCAAGGCTCTTCCCATGGACTGGATCCATTCTCCGCGGGAACCATGGAAGGGCCTTTTTCCTGCAGCTTCAGTACAGTGCTGGGGAAAATTTTTAGAGGGTTTGCATCTGGAGAGGGGAGCAACAGCTCCTCCTCACAAAACAATTCCTGCCCCCTACAAGGCAGTTTAAGAAAAGATTCAATTAGTGCCAGCGGGAGTTATTTTTAGCTGTTTCGCTGACATGCCAGGAGAACTGTGTTGCGTTTCAGCTCCCCCTCACATGAACAATCCCCATCTGTATGGCCATTGAGCTTCTGGGGCAGCAAATTTGCATGGGCGCTGATGGAAACATCTGGCCCCAAACCATTTCAGTGCCTAGAATGTCCCCTAGTGTGTTAGAAAAAGCATAGTCACTGGTCTGGCATGCGTGCAACTGAAGGAGATGGGCAGCCTGCTTGCATGCAAAAGAATGTGCACAGAATGTGCTTTTGGGCAAGGAATCCATCCCCTGGCTTGGGCCTCATCTGCATAGCTGAGCAGAACCCCAGCACAGAAACACACGCACATGATGTCATATTCCCTGCAAAAGCAGGTCCCCCGATCGCCCACCCTCTCAGCACCTCCCCTGTGAGAAAGGTGCCAGGAAATGTAATTATTTACCTTTTTAAAAGGCAAGGAAGAGGGGACGGGACACAGAATTATGCATGGTGTGCAGAAATGGGGAAGGGGGATGTTTTTCTCCCTCTCCCAAAATACCAGCAAGCCAAGGTCACCCCATGAAGTTAAATGGTGGGAGATCCAGGACAGATAAAAGGGAGAATTAAATGGTGGAATTCACTTCCCTGTGGCCACCAAATTGGACAGCTTTCAAAGGAGGTTGGGCAGATTCATGGAGGAGGAGGCTACCAACGGCCACTGGTCCTAATGTCTTTGTGCTACCTCCACCATCAGCAGCAGAGTGCCTATGTACACCAGTTGCTGGGGAAGATGGATGGGGGTGGCGTTGCCCTTGCATTCTGCTTGCAGAATCCCATGGGCAGCTGGTTCCCACTGCATGCTCAGAATGCGGGACTAGTTTGTTGGATCGAGTGTGACTTTTCTTAAGTTCTTACCCTCCACTGATCCAAATTCAGAGTCTAGACATCTGCCACGATTGCCAGGTTGAAAAGAGAGAAAATGGCAGAAGAAATTGCATCCACTTTTTGCATTCCTAACTTCAGGAATCTAATTTGGAAAAGCCACAACCACCCGTGGTTAAGGAAAGGGGAGGGGTAGAAAGATTAGACCTGCTTTGCTTGAAGACAATGCAGCTTCCGTTGCCTGCAGCTCCAGGTAAGGCAGGGAAAATTCGTAGCTGAAACCCTGGTGTGGCACGGCCAGTCAGTGTTGACAATACTGGGGTGGGTGAACCAAGGACATGGTTTTCTACATTCTTGTTTGGGGTGAGAAAACAACAACCTCCCTCTGCTCTTTCTTCTTAGGTGGCGTAAACAAGGCGCAGAATGAATCCCCCTACGAGGTGAGTGTGGGGGTGACTGGGGAGCCTTGCCTTGGGTGGTGCTGACTGGGAAGTCCAAGGATCAGAAGTGGGCCAAGCCCAGCTTTGTTGCTGCTGTTCTTTGGGTTGCCGTAGTTGTTTTCCTCCCTGTGGACTTGCACCTCTAAGATGCACCCAGTTGGCACCTTTGTAAACAGTGTGAGTCGCACAATTTGCATGTATTGGAAACTGGAGCCTACATAGTCCTCGTGTGATGTGGGCAACGTGTGTCTTAACTCATACGACGATGAGTCAGTGCCAGCATGGCACTAACAAGCAGAAATCCAAGCCGATGGGGCGTTTTATGAAAATCCCATCTGTTCAGCCCCTCTTGGGTGCCACACACATCCCTGGCCTGCTGAGTGGGCACACTGAGATAATCAAGAATTTGCAGAAAGGAAAATCCCTGTCTCTCTGCCTGGCCAGCAGGCCAATCTGTGACATTTGCGGTCCAGGTTGAGATGTGGTTCAAAACCCTTAACAGAAATTGCTCCTCATTGACTCACAGGGATCCTTTCCCTGTGGGGTGCAGAACCAAACCTGGTGCACCTGTGAGCCTTACTCAGCCCCCTGGGGTCCCAGATAACCACCCTTTCCCTACCCCCTTTCCCTGAACACCTGCTGTTTGAGGTGTTGCTAGTTTTTGAGCAATTTCATCTCCATTCGCGGTGGAGAAATTTAGCCTCTTCTAATGCTTAGCTATCTGCAAAAGAGCTTGAAGATAAAATCTACTAGAATCTGCTGGTATTTTGGCCCTGTCCTTTGCCTTTGGCCCCATCCACCAGTGGAATGTGGCCCCAGAGTGTTTTTCTGAAATGTAATTCAGCACCCTATTTAAAATAACTCTCAACATTGCCTGTTTGCATTTCTTTCCTTCCAGTTCTATACCTTCCTTCCAAAAGATCCTGGGATTTCTAGTCTGATGACAGAATTCCCTTCTCCCCTAAAACTACAGTTCTCAGATATGATAGCTTCTCCCTCTGGGAGCTTTAAAGAAAGATTCAGTAAATCCATAGTTTAATTCAGTAAATCATAGGGTGAGTACTCAGAGGAGGGCTTTCTCTGCGGCAGCGCCCAACCTGTGGAATGCGCTCCCCAGAGAGGTTCGCCTGGCGCTGTTGTTGTTGTTGTTGGGTTTTTTTTTGGGGGGGGGGGTTGGCACCAGGCCAAGACCTTTTTATTTAAACACTATTTTAACAGTTAATGGTTCACTTGTTGATTTTAAATTGACCGGGCTGTTTCCACTATTTTATGTATTTTATTTATTTGATGAATTTTTTGTATTTTATACGGGATTTTAATGATTGTAAGCCGCCCCGAGGCTCATGCGATGGGGCGGCATATAAGTTGTCTAAATAAATAAATAGGTTCTCTCAGTGGTTCTTGGCCTTAAGACATACACAGAAGCTTCATATTGACCAAATCTTGAGAATAAAGAATAGGTAAGGGCTGTTGCCACAGATCAACATGGCCAACCATCTGCCAAGGGCCCATGGCCAACCCTTTTCCCCCCAACACCATGGGGACGTCCATCTACCACCTACCTCTCCTACCACCAGCTGATGATTGAGGGCACCCCATGCCTGCCCACAGTTGTGTCCCTCCAGTGCTGGCCAGCAGAGCAGACATCTTAACCTCATTCAGACTCCCCACAATGCAATTGCCAATGTCAGCAGGTGGCATGATGCCTTGGAGAACCTAACATGGCAGCTGTCTGCCACAGGACCCTCCTGAAGGCTGAATGGGCACCCAACCTCTTGCTGTTTCTGGTGACTATGTGGTGGCCATCTTAACTGTGTGTGTAATCCATTTCTTTTTATGCTGTTTTCAGAAAGATTCTTATTTTTTTACCGGGTGCATATTGTTAGCCACTCTGAGTGCCATTCTGGGAAGAAAAGTAAGATGTAGGTTAAATAAGCAACTGATAACACCAGGTAAACACACCTGTGGGGAAATGGAGGTGAGGTGAATGAGAGGCAGTGGTGGCAAGCCAGCCCTGGGGGAGAGCTTAGCAATTGACAGGGGGCATCAGTTGCGAAGGTCCAAGAGCCCACTAAAATGTGGCACCAGTCCTGGGCTGTTGCCTGTCATTATAACCTAGAAGCACCCAGCCACTTTCAGAACAAGGATTTGGGACTACATGCCCGCAAACTGCCTAGAAAGCCTTCTCTGTTGGTTGATACGGAGGTGAAATACATTGATTGTTGTGGTCATCTAATGGGGCTCCCCATAGGATTTCTTGCAAGGAAAGAACTTCTAAACTGCCTGAGCAGCATAGCTACACCTTGACACTCTGCTCCTCTCTTACCTCCTAGGAGCTTCAAGCGCACAGAATGGATGTTTATAGTGATCTGAAGACTCCTCAGTCCACTTACAAATAGTCTTCCTTCTCATCTTGTTCTGTTGAACTTTACAAGCTCCGAAACAGCTTTAGCTTTAGAAGCTCCAAAATCGAAGATATCTGTTCAAGTCTGCTCGGAAACTGAACTTTCATGGCAGGCTTTTCAGCATGAATTCAGTTCTTTTCAGTATGTACTTTCTCTGCTGTGACGATCTGACCCATTTTAGGGTATGTCCCTCACACGTGCACACACATCCATGGTAATATGGATAAAATTTCCCTGGGTTGCCACACAGTGTGGAGAAGTTGGAGAAGAAGGGCATCCCAGGGCTACCCAACCAGGGGCCTTTTCCTCAGGCCGTGGCCAGTGGCCACGTGTGTGCTGCAACCCAAGCCATGCCTTCCTGCAAAGTACATGTGCCAAAAACAATGGTGCCTCTCAAGTTTCGTTTTTGCCCAAGAACCAATGGATCTGGTTCCATACTCAGAGTAAACCCATTGAAATCAATGGGAGTCATGTCAGTCATGGCTGACGGAAGGTGCAATTCTATGTGGGTTTACACCTACAAAAGTCCATGCTGACTGGAGAATGCTGAGAGCTATAGCATGTTTTTCGTTCTAAATATGTATAGGATTATGTCCGTAAAGACCCTTAGATTTCAGCAGATCTCCTTGAAGAATGATCAGATCTGGGTCCATTCTATTCCTTTTGTGTTATAATTTTCAAATCTAATTAGCACACAATCCTCTGGGATATTTTCCTGCAAGGAAATGAATGAGAACTATTTTAACTTTTTAAGGTTTGATGCATTATTAAGCTGGTATATTTTAAGGTTTTATGTCTGCTTTTTGTGATTTGCCCAAAGAACTTTGTCAGTGGAACTGCACAGAAATGGAATGAGGACACTGCCTCATGCCAGGCCAAGCTATTTGTCCTGGTGGCCCTGCATTTCAATGACAGCAGAAAGGACCTGGAAAGGCATCTCACCTTAGACCAAAGGATAGTTAGGAAGGAAAGAAAACACCTGTGTCAAAGATAACAGTTTCCCATTGCTGATGTTAGGAATGCACCACATCCAACTGGATGCTGTGGAATTTCCTTGACTACTCTGGATCAAGCAGCCATTACCTTTCCCATAATGCCCCAGAGCAATGCTAAGTTAGGGGCATCATGGGAAATTAAAATGGCAGCTGGATAAACACAGTGGTCTGGTGAGCTGCTGCTCCTGAGCTGCCACCAACAGAGAAGCTCAGCAGAACCCACCAATGGTCAAGGGGTGAAGCACCAGAGAACACATTGCCTGGACGCATTGCATATGAGGTCTGTCCAGTCAGAGGCTGGAGCTGAGGAGATAGGGGAGTGGCCTGGTGGTGCCATGTGTCCTACTTTGCAGAGAGTACCTTTATGTGAAGAGCTCTCTTTTCCTTGAAGGTGTCTCCTTCAAGAACTGACCTGTCCATGTACAGTCTAAGGATAATCCCAAAAAAAGAACCACAGGGGCCTTGAAGTTCCCCATCACCTGGTCAGAAGATTGAACAGGAAAGCATACAGGGCACAATCTCCCCTGCTTTAGCAAGATGCACTGTCTCTAGAGTGCTGGACTGGGGCCAGGAGAGCCAGGTTCTGGTCCCAACCTGAGCATCTTAGGCTTTAAGGCTGGGGGCTAACCTAGCAAGCAAACTTGGGCGTGTTCAAGCTTTGGTGTCCTCTGGCTCAACGGGAAAGAGCTGCACAGTGGGAGGGCCTCGGAAAGCCCCAGGGTGGACCAGGCCTGCCTTCTCAAAGCCCACTTGCTGCACTAGTGACGCACCCAGCAGTGTGCAGTACCCGCAGGGTTGCCACATTCCCTGTGTCTCCATAGAACAGGGACATGGGGCAATCAGCCTCACAGCCTGTGTCAATGCCTCAGGCCAGCAGCAAGCACACAACATGACTCACACAAACCATGTGAGCCTCTTGTTTCCCCATTCATCTTGGCAAGTTTCCGTTCTTTCATTCTCACCAGCCCACCAGCCACCGTGGAGACTTGCCTTGATCAAACACAAGCTGTAACCCAGCTTTCCCCAAGCTGGTGCCCCCCATATTTTGGACTTCAACTCCCAGAATCCCCAGGCATCTTTTGGGCTTTTATAAGGGTAGGCATGTTGAGAACCCGCCTGCCAAGGGCCCATGACCTGTGCAGGACAAAGACACTGGCGGGGGCATTGCTCCACCTCTTCACGACCACAAGCACCTTGCTCACCCACCTCTCCTGGAAGAAGGGAGCCGTGGGTGCCACCTCCCGATCCCTCAGTGGCTCCTGGCCTGTCATGGGAGGGTAGCAAGGCTGAGAAAGGCAGTGAGGAGCAGAAGTGGCTGGTGACAATAGCAGTGAGATGGAAGATTCACAACAGGTTGGGGAGATTTTGACATCCTCATCACCATCATCACATTGTATTTATATCCCACCCTTTTTCCTCTTGTAAGAAACGCAGGGCTGTTTCCATGACCCCATTTTATCCTCACAGCAACATGCCTGTGAGGTGGGGTGGGCTGAGGGCGAGTGGCTGCTGCAAAGGCTCCCAGTGGGGACCCGACTCTCCCAGAGCCCCAGGCCGTTGCTCTCAGCACCACACCACACTGGTTCTCCGTGCTGAGAGTGTCTTGCCCAGGGGCCTCCAAAACCTGGAGCCAGCACTGCTGGCCCTGCAGGCTGATGGGATCCATGCTGATGAGGCTTATGGGCATCCAATGGCATTGCTGGCCAGGGCCAAAGAGGCTTGGTCACTGCACCTCGCACCTGCATTCTCTCTGGCCAGCCACATTCAGCCATCCAAACAGTCCCAGGAGGGGAGCGGAGGCTGGGGCACTGGTTGGAATCGGCACCTGCTCTCAGCCCCAGCCTGCTCCTCTGCCTGCTCCTTGCATGCCTGCTTTCCCCCCACAGAGGCCCTGCTAGGAACACAGGGAGGAGCTAGTGCAGTTCCTTCTGGACTCGGCCTTTGACATTTCAGCTCCAAGGCCCTTGCACATCAGAGGCAGGATGCTAAAGAATCCCATGATGTCAAGAAGCCACCCAATTGCACCTGGGCCCCATCGGCTTTCTCCCCGGAAGGCCCTACTGGGACTGCTGTTGTTGCTGCTACTGTACCATTCCTTTGACTTCGCTATGCAGCTCGGACCGAGACAGAAGTGTGGCAGGATCAAAATTTGGGGTATACGGGCAAATCGTTTCCATTTCCTTTTGACCAGAATTTACCCAGTTCACACTAAGGGGGACCATAGATGGACTGCACTTGAAGTCCCTATGTCTCTGATGTTGTTAAGTGATTTGCAAGACCAGAAAAAGGAGTTCTCATTTGTAATATAAAGTGTACTTTTGAAAAATGCGCATTAAAACATACTTTGGGAAAATGCAGTCAAACACACTTTAACTGATGGGGGGGGGGAGTGCATACTTTTAGAAATGCACACACTTAAGCTGCCCCTTTGGGAAAAGGTGCACAAGAATTATGTACTGATTTTCTTGTAAAAACTCACTGGCTGATAGGGAAACAAGTCTGGAGGCACTTCAAGGTGGATTTGCAGAACTTCTAGGAGCTCATGTTCCACTGATTCACACACCCTTCCTTAGAATGACTGGCTAATATTCCTTAACAGTCAGTGGCCAAGCTGTGCCAGCCACCCCTTATTCTAGGAAAATAGCATATTAATAGCCCAAGACAATCGGGAGTATGTTTCTTATTGGGAGCCAATGGCTAGGAAATAGTTGGAGATTTCTCTGGAATGCAGCAAAAGACTAGAGCAGGGTGGGCAAATTTTGGCCTTCCAAAAGGTTGGGCTTATATTTCCCATCAGCCCTAATCAGCATAGCCAGTGGTGAGGAAGGATGGGACTTGTGGGCTAGAACATCTGGAGGACCATGTGTTGCCTCCCCCTCATACACACAAGCACAAACCACTGGTCTTAAGGTGTGTGTGAAAGGAAAACACAGGCTGAAGCAGAAGCAGAGAAACACAGAGAAGGAGAGGGATGGCCGAAGGCTGAAGGGTCCTGAGCACTACGTCAGACTCTCTGGAGATTGGGTGCTAGGCTGGCAAACTTGGCCTGACTCCACAAATGTTCAGCTCATTGCTTTGGAATGATGGGAGTCTTCTTACTACTTGGGGCCATGGAAAGCAGGTATAATTGTGCTATGATTATAGTGAATGGATCCAGATTTGCACAGGTCAAAGTTGTCATTGTCCAGCAAAGTTATACAGCTGTCACAATCAGTTCCACTTTGCTCACCCCACCAGAGTGAATGCAGGCCTGCTGGCACCCCTAGGCATAGCTGCCATCAAGGTACACCCCATGACCCCTGAAGAGAGTGCCCACCCATTACATTCTCCTGAAGGGGCTGCCCCACCATTCATTCCCCACCCCAGCTTCAAACATGTCAGCTGTAAAGCTAAGTACTGATTAGGGAAGCCTGCCATCTAGTGACAGTCAGTGAAAATGCAGGTTTCAAAACAAGGACACATTTTACCATGAGATACTCATAAGCCTCTGAACTCCGCAATTCCACCAGACGGCCAATCTGCAGTGCCTTGGTGAGAAAGCAGTGGAAACTGAGGTGCTGCCAGGTTATGGTGCACCCTGGCAGCCCCAGTCTGCTCTCCAAACTGCCCCTGAACCACCCCCTTTACCTCCACTCCAAGGCCAATTGTCTGACCCAAAAGAAGTAACTGCCATGGCTCTTTCCATGCCACTGCAAGGCTGGGAGGGGGAAAGAGACTGCAGTTCCCCACCTCTGAGCTAGGAGTTCTGTCTCTGACCCCGGATCTGGGAATCCAAGGGTTCCTATGGTCCCCAAGATGCTACCTAAAGCAGCCTTCCCCAACCTGGTGGTCTTCGGAGGCATTTGGGCTGCAACTTCCAGAATTCCCATCCAGCAGGGCCATTGACTGGGAATTCTGGGTGCTGCAGTCCAAATGTATGTGGAAGGCACAAGGTTGGGGAAGCTAATCCATAGGATCACCTCCTAACTAAATGAATGCATTTTAAAAACGAAATAAGCACACACATGTGTGCATACTAAGTTCCAGGTGTTTAGGCTTCAGGGTGCTTACACTAGGTGCTGACAGACAGACAGACAGATGTTTTAACCCTAGAAGCCTGGTTCAGTCAAGGTGCCTCACTTTACATTTTTGTATCTGTGGAAGAAACAAAGCCTCCTGTATCAAGGATAATGCCTTACAATATACTGAATACAGTAGTGAAATATGTGTGCAGAATGTAATCAAAGCAAGCAAAACAAAGCTCACACGCATGCCCTTTTCTTTGGTTGGTTCTCTGAATAAACCAGGGAGTGCACTCCATGGGCCTCCAAAGTTTCCTGAGTGAGCAACACATGAATTCATCTCTCCAAGCCAAAAACTTCAGACATTGCTTCTTGCCATGGATTTTATGAAGTTCCTCTTCTCAGATTTACCTGTTAATATGCATATTGTTAGCATCCAGGGCATGGGCAGCTGGGTATCAGATCAGGGCACCAGGACCCAGACAACTGGTACAATATACAGACCCATTCCAAATCATGGAATGGGTAATAGGCAGTCCAGAGATGAAGGTGGGTAACAGAAGTGCAAGGTAGGCACTCCAACAACACCCAAGACCTTTGTTAGTGAGGCTACATCTAAAGGAAAGAGCCAGTTTTTGTATAGTTTTTCCCTCAGGGCTCCCAGGTGGTGCTCGTAACATTCCAGGTGGCTGCAATTGACTGTGGACTGTTCCTGCAACCACCAGGGCTGCCATTCTGGTCTCTGGCCAGAAGAGGGAGTCCTGGTGCTGCCTCAGAACCTCACACATAT